GAGTTCATGAGCTCGATGAAAAACAACATAAGCTGAGTTTAAAAGAAGGCGCTATAGCTTCTCTGGAGGATGAGAAGTCTCGCTATGAGGCAGCCTTGTCAAGGAAGGACGCTGAACTGCAGGTGACATTGACCGAAGTGAACACCCTCAAAACCGAGAAAGAAAACTTACTGCTAGCCCATGACCTCACGTCGGTTGAGTTGGCCAAAGTTGTGGAGGTGGCCAAAGAAAAGGACGAGCAGCTCACAAGGTTAAGGGCCGAGCTTCAGGCCGTCCGTAAGGATCGGTCCGATAAGGATGCTGAGCTGATCCGAAGCCGTGAAGCTCATGAAGTGGCGATGACCAAGCTCCGACAAGAAATGACCGCCGCCGCCGAGCTCAAATTCCAAGAGGGTATTGAAGTCGGCAAGAAATCGATAGCCGAGCCCGACGACGCAGCTGACGCCGGTGCGGCAACAGAATGGGAGCTGGAGCTGAACGCCGCCTTGGCTTTACGGTGGGTGATAGATAGGGTTGATAGCGGCGTGTATACCATGGATGAGCTGCGCATTTACTTGCTTCACAAGATGGAGAAGTATGGCTTCAACCCTGAGATGGAGAATGCCCATATCCCGGCCGACCAGGACGAGAGAGATTTTGCTGACCGACTTCTAAAGCAGAAGGAAAGTCGGATGTTGGAGCTGGATATGGTGCCCTTGTCGGAAGAGCGGAAGGCGAAAATCAGGCGATCATTTGTTGACATGGTTCTTGAAGTGGAGAAGGCCAAGAAGCCTGAGATGGCCAACATATGCGTGGAGACAATTGCTGAGGCCTTTGTCACTGAAACATTTGAGGGCTTATCGGATGAGGAGCTTTTAAGCGCGATTGTTGGTTATGCTGCGCGCAAGATGGCAGAGGATGATGCCAAGGCTAAGGGATGGGTGATCGACCCAGCCCTTTCTGACGATGATCGCGTCTTGCATGAAGATGGCGACGTCGTCATAATCAAAGAGAGCGACGTCGTCCGAGCACTGGAAGAGAAGGAAGAGGATGTCGTTCAGCGCCTGAGCCAAAGATTGATTGAACACCTGGATGGCGTTGAAAAGGGCAAGGCTGAGATGGAAAATCCTCAACTCTCTGATGCAGGGAAAGCGTCGTCGTCAGGGACTAAAGACGATTGATATGCTTATATTGTCTTGTTGTTTATTTTTTCTTTTGAGAATGTACTGTTATTTGGTTGTGAAATGGAATATGAATGTTTGATGAATGAGATATTTGTTTTACGCATGTTTTAATGATTTATCATGTCGGAAAAGATGGGTAAATATTTGTCAAGTTTAAAATTTCCGACATAATATTAGCGTAATAGTTTATACGAATTACTGACATCGGTGTAATCTTACAGCACTTCCGACATCAAACTTGCCATTATCGGAAACAATTTATAGCTTATCCGACATCTACAAACTCCTTAATCGAACAAATCATAAAAGATTTGCTATTTACTGGAAATATTTATTGTAAGCTCACCAAATCATCGTTGGGATTCGGTATCATAGAGCATAAGCCTCCCCAAACCATCTTCGGGGCTTGGAAGTATCCGGCTTTGCTGCGTTCGGCTAGGTCATACCATCTTCAGGGTATGAAACACGTTTAGCCTTGGCAACGAGGACCGATTTATTGTGGTCCGAGTGATCGAACAGATTATTGGGGTTCGTCACACAAATTTTATTGATAACAAAACATGATTCTTGTACAGCAGTAGGACAAAAACTTTTTACACGTCGGGGACAGGACCTTCGGCATTAGATTTACTGGTAGTATTTCTTCAGATATGTCGTATGCCAGGGATATTGAAGGGGAACACCGTCTAACGTTTCAAGTCGGTAAGTACCATTGGAAATTAGACGATTTACTTTAAAGGGTCCTTCCCACTTCGGTTGTAACGGGCCGACATGAGCACCAGTGACTCTTTTCAGAACGAGGTCTCCTTTGACAAACGAACGTGGCTCGAGTCTCGAGTTTATATATCTTTCGCTACGTCGTTTATAAGCAGCATTGCGAACTTCAGCGTCAGCACGTAATTCATCGAGTAGATCAAGACTGGCCTTCAAATTTGCGGGATTGGTTTCTTCGGAGAAGTGAGTGACCCGATATGTCGGAGAGGCAAGTTCAACCGGTATCACAGCTTCAGTTCCATAAGCTAACGAGAACGGAGTTTCTCCAGTTGAATTTCTTGTCGTCGTTCGATAAGACCAGAGGACATAAGGCAATTCATCGGGCCATGATCCTTTTGCAGCTTCAAGTCGAGTTTTCAGGCCATTCTTGATAATCTTGTTTACAGCCTCTATTTGTCCATTAGCTTGTGGGTGATAAAGTGATGAGAAGAAATGCTTAATGCCGTAATCTTCACAAAAACTTTCAAATCGTTTGCCTTCAAACTGTCGACCGTTGTCGGTTATAATGGAGTTGGGGACCCCAAACCGACAAACGATTGATTTCCAAACAAAATCTACCATTTTTTGCTCGGTAATAGTGGCAAGGGGCTCAGCTTCAACCCACTTGGTGAAGTAATCTGCGGCTAATATAGCAAACCGAACTTCTCCTTTTGCTATCGGAAGCGGGCCGATCAAGTCAATTCCCCATTTTGCGAACGGCCATGGACTATATATTGATTTGAGAAGTTCAGGATGTTGATTAACGTTGGGAGCAAATATCTGGCATTTGTGACACCGTCGTACCCAATCCGCAGCATCTTTCCGAAGAGTAGGCCAGTAATAGCCTTGCCGGAGAATTTTATGAGACAAAGTTTGAGCTCCTTGGTGGGTGCCGCAGACTCCTTCATGTACTTCTTGCAAAATTCGTTGGGCATCTTTCTCCGACAAACATTTCAGCAATGGGGTAGAATACCCGCGTTTATATAATGTCCCTTCATCGATGGTGTAATGACGGAGAGCACGGGCTTCTTTCAAGTCTTCAGGTAAGGCCCCGGTTCGAAGATAGTCAATGATTGGGTCCATCCATGTAGAATTTGGGGTTACTGAGGCGGCATCAACCATAACGACGTCGGTAGAGACTGTGGATGAGGTCGCCTGTTGGGTAATTTGTACAAATTCAACATTATCCAAGTCGGTTGATGAGGCCAGCCGCGAAAGAGCATCTGCCTGGACGTTGGATGACCGTGGTATATGCTCCAGCGTCATTTTAAATCGTGCCAGCTTCTTTTTAACAAGATCAAAATAGGGTAACAGCCGTGGTTCCTTAACTTCGTAAGTGCCGTTGATATGACTGACTAGCAACTGGGAGTCGGAAAATATCCGAAGAGAGGAAACGTTCATGGATTTGGCAAAGTGTAATCCTGATAAGAGGGCCTCGTACTCGGCTTCGTTATTGGTGGCCGGGAAAGTAAATGCCACAGAGTAACAAAACACTTGCTGATCGGGACTGACCAAGACGATCCCCCCTCCAGCTCGCATAGCGGTGGACGATCCGTCAATGTAGAGAGTCCACGTCGGATCTTCAATGGATAAATCGACAGCGGGAGTAAATTCAGCAATGAAATCGGACAGTACTTGGGCCTTGATAGCGGTTCGTGGCCGGTACTGTATATCGAACTGTCCCAACTCAATTGCCCACTTAATCATTCTTCCCGACGTATCGGGTCGGTGAAGGACTTGTCGGAGAGGATATGTCGTGAATACAACAATTGAGTGCTCCAAAAAATATGGGCGCAACTTTCGTGCAGCAATGATCAGAGCATAAGCCAGCTTCTCCATATGCGGATACCGCAACTCAGCGTCATGCAAGGCCTTGCTAACATAATACACTGGAAACTGCTGGAGTCCGTCTTGACGTATAAGGACAGCACTAACAGCAACGTTACTTACACCAAGGTATAAATAGAGAGGTTCATCGAGAAGCGGCTTTTGTAACGTCGGTAACTGCAAGAGAACTTGTTTAATATTATCAAAAGCATTCTGGCATTCCACGGTCCATTCAAACGGCTTCTTCTTTTTGATAGCGTCAAAGAATGGTTTACAATGATCTGTAGATTTTGAAATGAACCGATTAAGGGCTGCCAGTCGACCAGTTAAGGCTTGGACGCCTTTAAGAGATGTCGGAGGGGCTAGGTCAAGTATGGCTTGAATCTTGGCAGGATTGGCTTCGATCCCTCTTTGGCTCACCATGTATCCTAGAAACTTCCCTGATCCAACTTCGAAAGTACATTTTTTGGGGTTGAGTACCATGGAATATTCTCGGAGTATATCGAAGACTTCGGAGAGATGAGCAATATGGTCGGGGGCTTGTTCCGACTTCACCAACATGTCGTCTACATAGACTTCCATGGTATGGCCAATTAAATGAGCAAACATCTTATTGACCAATCTCTGATACGTGGCCCCTGCATTCTTCAATCCAAAAGTCATCATAACGTAGCAATAAAGGCCTCGAGCTGAATAGAACGAGGTATGCTCAGCATCATCAGGGTGCATGGGAATCTGATTGTAGCCTGAGTAGGCATCCAAAAAACTCATAAGTTGGTGTCCCGACGTAGCGTCCACCATATAATCGATGTGTGGAATGGGATAGCTGTCTTTCGGGCACGCTTGATTCAAGTCGGAGAAATCTATACAAAGACGCCAAAGGCCGGTTGCTTTCTTAACTAGAACAGGGTTCGATATCCACGTCGGGTACTTGGCTTCTTTAACAAATTTATTGTCGATGAGCTTATTTACCTCCTCTTCAAGAGCCTTCTGGCGATCTGGACCAAATTTCCGACGTTTCTGAATAACCGGTTTGACAGTTTTGTCCAAATTGAGACGATGACATGCCTTCTGTGGGTCGATCCCTTTCATGTCTTCATGCTTCCATGTGAATACATCAGTGTTTGACTGGAGGAATTGAATCAAACTTGACCGAAGGGGTTCCTGCAGGTTGGCCCCAATACGCAACGACTTCTGTTGTTCTGACCCGTCCACGTAAATGATCTCAATATCTTCAACAGGTTCCGCTCGAATATGATGACTTCCATCTTTGAACTGCATCCTTGGGTCCATATCCTCATGTATCTCTATGTCTTTTTCATGGGAAGATTGTTCTTGGCCAAGGATTTCTGTTGATATTTCAGACAAGACCGACGTCATGGGGATGTCGGTATCGGGTGTCGGTACTTGAGGCATGTCGGTATCCGAGGTGAACTGATCAACTTGCTCAGTACGAGGAATTGGATCACTTGGCTCAACAAAGCTATTAACATCTCGTCCTTCAATCATATGAAAGTTAGGCGAGGTTGAAAGCAGCATCAGACTTCGGGCTTCTCGTTGGTCTCCATAATGAGTGCCTTCTCCTTCAACGGTGGGAAACTTCAAGGCATAATGAAAGATCGAGACAGCAGCACGAAGTTTATAAAGTGCGGTTCGCCCAATTACAGCATTATATTCATTTTGGACATCCAAAACTTTGAAGGTTTCCATTATAATCTTGGACTTCAGTCCAAAGCCTCCAAATCGAATAGGGAACAATATTTCGCCAACAGGGCAAGAGATGCTTCCATTGAAACCTTGAATCTGATCGTTACACGGCCTAATATCTGCTGGGTCCAAACCCAATTTTTTGAAAGTACGAAGCATTAAGATACTCGAATACGCTCCTGTATCGACGAGGATTCGATGAACAGGAATTCCGCCAATTGGGGCAGTTATGATGAGAGCATCAGAATGAGGATGAGCAAACAAATTGGCGTCTTTAATACTGAATGTAATGGGGCAATTCCGTTTATTGATTGTATCTCGAAGATCGACATTCATGACTCGGTTCTCGGCATTCTGAGCCTCCCGAGCATAAGCTTTAACTTTCCG